CTCCTTCATTCACCCTCCACCATCATCATGTTCGCCAAGCTTACCGCCGCCATTGCTGCCACCAGCGTCCTCGCGACCCTAGTCGTCGCCACCCCGACGCCCCAGATTGGCTCGAACTCATGCAACACCGGGCAGCTTCAATGCTGTGAGCAGGTCCAGACGGCGGACAGCCTGAACCTTTCCGCCGTTCTCCTGGACCTGCTTGGCCTCGTCCTCCCCAGTCTCGACGTCCCGATCGGTATTTCCTGCTCCGGCATCAACGGTGTCGGCGTCGGAAGTGGCAACGCTTGGTGAGTCCACCCCAAAGATGACTTTTGGTTCGGAACAGGGCTGACGATGATCTTAGCTCCACGAACGCGGTGTGCTGTGACAGCACCAGCACCGGTGAGAGGCTGGAACTGGATATGTGCGATGGTCTTACTGTGCGACTGACATAACTTGAAGGCGGCCTCCTCTCCGTCGGCTGCGTCCCAGTCCTTTGAGGACTGACAATACATATCAGGAGCACGAGCGTGGGAATGTATGATGAAGCGCGGGGGGCTGGCTGGGAGTAGGCCATTGAACCGCCGAGAGCGCCGTCTGACTGTTTGTGATGCCCGGATGAACTGTGATTATTTGCCTTTGTGTATGCCCATATGCGACCGTATAAACCTATGCTGCCCGGTATCTGACGAAAAGAATGGTGTGAAAGGGTCCAGAGGCCCAGAGGCAGGTCTTCTAGGCCTAGATAGGTGACGGAAGTTTGTAACCAGATTGCGACTTCGGGAATACTGCACCCGGCGAGTTGCTTAGATGGACACCGAGAAGGCGCACGGGTAGAGGTTTATATGCGCACTTTCTCTATGGGGGGAAGGGGGGTAAGTATCGCATGTATCGTACCTAGTGGTAAACGAATTAATTTGAGGAGCGTGTCTTCCGGTTGGCGGGAGAACGACCACCTACGAGACAGAAGTCTACGGGCGACGGGACCAGTAGTGCACTAACATAGGTTTATATTGATACAGTTACTCATATGGATAGTCCCAATGTCTTGAAGGTCAAAAGCGTGGACCAAAGTGCCCAAGGATCATGTACAGAACGATGCTAACGGTGCTCACACCGAGTCATGACCATGAGTTGTATGTCAATGTTAAACCAGTCATCATCTGTTATTATAGTCTTCCTCAATGTTTAAAAGGCGTAGAGGAGCTCGCGAGAGATCGACGTCTAGACGGTGAGCAGTGGGTTCGAACGTCGAGGACGGAAGGAGGGAAGAAGGAAACATAGATTATAGAAACGCCCAACTGAGCGGCGCGTGCAGGGCGCGTCTCGCGTCATGGGCGCTTGCACGACTTGTTTCGATTCTTGAGCTTGGGCTCTGTCCTCAGACCGTGTTTATTGCTTTTCCTGCCTCCCTCGTCCATCCGCACCCCCCTAAAACTTCGTGCATCACTTTAAGCAGCTCCAAAGGTGGCTTCTCCAAATGTCTGACTCGTTATACGCCTCTTGCGCGGAAGTACTCTCAGTTTCTCAGGCGAACAAGGATGATCTTGAGGCGCTTCTCCACCCCGAGACTGGCTTTGCTCCGAAGCTAAGGCAGATATGTGAACAACAGTGCGTAATATTTCGTATTACCTCGTATACGTTCACGCAAACAATTGCATAGATTAGCGGAGCTACAGGACGGTGCCGGAGTAGACGAGTCCGTCTCAATATCCGAGTTGGATGCCCTGAGGATGGAGAGCGACACATGGGCTCTGTTACAATCTCTTATGTCGTACGTTACCCCGTCACCTTCGCCGAACGTAACTTACCGCCCTCAGACTACGAAAAACTACACCCCCAGAGTTCCCCAATCCGCGCGAACTCCTAGCCACCAACCCATACACGCCACCCGCTACCCTCGCGCAGTCAATTATGCACTCCTCACCCCTACTATCAGAACTTGTCGTGGTACGCGAGTGGCTGCACGACTCTGCACCCTCACCAACTATGCTCGATCCTGGCGCTACGAATGGGTACTGGCGGTTCACGCGGAACGCGGTTTTACAGGGCAAGCGAACGGGGCGGACGGGTGCGGGTCTGGTTGGAGAGCTCGACCCCGATGCGGTCAACAGGGACGGCATAGAAGAAAAGGGTCTTGCTCCAGACGATGCGGTGAGTGATCTAGTCAGCCGGGGTACTCCCGCCTGGCAATAGCCTGCACAGTTCGTTAACCAGAGTGATGTGTTCGCCTCAAGGTTTATGATAAAGCTGTCTTGCAGGCGCTGTACGCGCATGTACGCGCCGGTCAGTTGGAGGACGCGGTCGAACTTTGTCGAAAAGCGAACCAGCCATGGCGTGCCACGAGTATTAGGGGCGCGTTGTTGTTCCAATGGCGAGCAATAGGTTCGTCCATTCCAGGTTGCGTGTGTGCCTGTTACTAATAACAGCCGCAGCGAATGAGCCTCGAGAAGTTGACGCGATGGACGACGAGGATGCGGAGGACTGCCAGCAATGGCGAGGAAATGTCCGCAGACGGCTATGGAAGAAGGTTTGCTCCCAAGCCGCACTAAGCGTATGTTCTACCGTGATTATACAGAGACCACCGCGCTCATCCGGCTATGATAAACCAGACCACTCTCTCGCCAACAGAACGCGCTCTATACGCAGCACTCGCGCCAACAACGCAAACTTCTATATCCCTGAAAGCCGTCGCGCGGACATGGGAAGATCACCTATGGGCGCTCGTTAGCCTGGCCTGTGAGGAGCGGCTCAGCGTTGGACTAGCGTCCATCGAGCGCGATTGCTTCTGGGAGAACGGGCTGGGAGCGCTAGAGGGCGGCGCAGCGGTCCTTGCTCCACGTGAGGCCGACGACGAGGCCGAGGAGGAGTGGGAGAACGAGGTTGTACACGCGCTCGAGGCACTCTCAAATATCCAAGTGAGCGAGGGGTCAGTGTCGCAATAGCAATCGACGCCGAATAGCTGCTGACACTGACCACGCAGTGCGCCCGCGGACAACCCATACCATGTCTCACAATTGCATATTATTCTCGACCGGACTGACGCGTTACTGGAGGCCTTTGCAAGCGGCTTACAGGAGGGCACCTACGTCTCATCCCCAGAGTGAGTTACCCCGAGTGGCAATCCAGGCTGTGTATTAATGGAGCGGCAGGTATACAACGATGACGCGGTTTTTCGCACACCTATGCCTCTTCCTCCAGATGATCGACATGCCGGTGTCCCCTTTTGCAACACAGATTATCCTCGAAGCGTATCTGCAAGTCCTCGAGGTGCGCTTCTTTCTTCATCGCCCTCCCTTCTTTGAGTCCCAGCTAACGCGTCCGCTAGGCTGCAGGCCAGCGCGAGCTGATCGCGATGTACGCTGGAGCTCTGGGCGACAATGCGGTGGAGCGATATGCCCTTTTCCTCACCTCACTCGAGCTCTCTGCAGACATTCACGAGCGCCGGCTCGCCCTCACGCGTGCGCGGGACCATGGACTCGACATCGAGCGTGTCGCGATCGTCACCGCCGAGCGCACAATCGAGAAAGCGTTCACCGTATGTCGCATTCTTTCTATGTCTTTTCATAGGCTTGCGCAAACACTTACACATCAATTGCGGGCGTGTATAGATTCTTCCGCAAACAAGGGGCCCGCTGCCTTTTGTCTACGGGCTGGAGCCGCCCCCAACAGAGCCCGAGTGGTTGCTTGTGCGCTCTATCGAATGGACGACGTTCCTCGAGGCGACATACGATACCGCGCTCGAGCAGACGAACGTCATCCTGCGCTACTTCCTTGGTGTGTTCCCCTCCCCACCAACTACCCCTTGCCCCCTCCAGCTGACCTTCGGTTCCCCGACGGTCCAGGTCACGGGCGCGTGCAAGTGGCAAAGAGCCTACTCGAGATGCTACCGCCAGAACTAGGGACGTTGCGCGAGCCCGAGGAGGAGGCGGCCGAGTACATGCACTACTGCCAGTTCTTCGGCGTGTGGGACGCCCTCGCACGCGTTGGCGAGTGCGAGGCGCTCGAACAGCCACAGATGAACAAGGACACGCGGGCGGCGTGGCTCGACGACTACAAGGTATGTCGTGTGGTTGATCTATGTACAGAGAGCAGGATGGCTAAAGGACGGGACAGACACTAATCGAGCAAGCCCGCGAGCAGGTGGAGAAGCTGCTCACGACGGACTGGCTTGTCTCCGACGCGGACGCGCGTGGACCTGGTATGTCTTCACTGTCCTAACCACCTGAATGAACTATAACTTCAACATTGTCGAATCTCACAGGCGCGAAGCGGCATCGCGACCTCGTGCGCATCCGCCAGATCTACGTCCCAGAGCTCATTCTCCGTCTTCACGCCATCCTCGTCAGCTCGCGTAGTCGGATACCCGAGTGCGTGTACCTTCTTCATTCGGTCTTCATGCCGTCCTGCTTACATTTCACGCCTTTGTATTACCTTCATTGACGTCTAGGAACCTCAAGCATGCGCTCGCGCTCGTCAATATCGTCGCGGACTCCCGGTACCGACTCTACGACGACTTTTCGGGGCAAGTGGGGCGGCGGCTGGGGGATTATCTCGGTGCGGTGCGCCAGGCTATCCTGGCCAGTTTGGAGGGTGGCGGGTCGGACCCGTTCAGGATTCTCACTGTATAATACTTATCGTTTCGTGTATCCCAACTGTACTTGCCATCTGGGTGCTTCAGTGCTGCATGATAGAGTGAGTGTATAATCCCGTTTAGCTCAGTTGGTAGAGCGCGTCACTAGTACGATTACGAAGTGCGATGACGAGGTCAGTCGTTCGAGTCGGCTAATGGGAACTACTTTTGCAAACTCGACGTTCCCTCATAACAACGATGCGCCGACGCTGAGTGGTCAATAAGCTCGTAAGCATTTTATCCGTCCGGCCGTGTTGTATTGGACAATTGTAAGGGATACGACCCGAACAAGGAGACTGAAGATTCGTTACCAACACCTTGTGCGGTAATGTAGTGGTGAATCTCCTGTTCTGGACAAGTCTGACACAAAAGCCGGATCGTCAACTCCCGTTTAGCTCAGTTGGTAGAGCGCGTCACTAGTATGATTACATCATTCAATGACGAGGTCAGTCGTTCGAGTCGGCTAATGGGAAATGTTTTGGACGTGAAGAATGGTTTTTCTTCGTTATCGAAACACGGGGGATGGCGGGAGAAGATATCAAGGGAATAGGAAATCCAGTGGCACAAACCCAGATCGGGCTTCCCTTTATATACCGTGTCATGCGTAATACATCCGTAGCAGATTATCGCCGAGTCTCGTCGCATGACACTTCGCAGTTTAGACTAACCTCAGAGTGTTCCGGAGGCGTTGCACGCTGCGCAAAGGCGTTAATAAAAGTGCTCGTAGGATGTCCAGAAGCGAGGACGTACCAGGAAGCCCGGTTTCGCTCGCCACATTGACGCACTTGTAGCTCGGCGTGGTGCCGTTTGGCGGCGCGATGTTGATGTTGTGGACGCGGATGTTTGGGCATGGCACTGCCACGCTGCACTCGATGTCGACGACTGGGCGTGTAATGGGGCGTGACGAAGATTGTTGGGTCATTCGAGTTAGCGAGCGCGGTGAAGGATCGTGTGGAGGTGACGTACTGGTGTTGCGCAGGGAGTAGCCCGTCCAGTCGCTGAAGGTCAGGTTGCTGAACTGCAGCGTCGAGGCGTTATCGCCCCTATCGCTGCTGTCAGCATGTTAAAGGTAGTTAGAGGGGGATGGGCGTACGAGTGGCCGCCGTTGGTCTGGTAGAGGTGGATGGGAACCGTAACTGGGTCGAAAGAGACACGTTTGGCGACGACGTTCGAGACGTATCCTGCGCAGGGTGAGCCGATATAAGTCGAATTCGTATTGTGCTAGATACCGTGCTTACCTCCGCCGCCTCCACCGCCGGTGGGTGGTGAGCCGTGGACAGATCCGGTCCATGTCTTGAGGTATACTCCCGAGACAAGGTTAGGCTGCACCCGGGGATCGAGACGGATTAGCTAACAAAGAATATCGGGTTAACTAACTGGGAGCGATAACAATCTCAGCAAAGTTTAACTAACTTTGAGATCCTCCATGACCAAGTTGTCAACGATGTCGGGCTGTGCACGAGGTCCAGTGAGATTATAAAGAATGTACCCTGAAAAAACACGTACGAGGTCTGCATATTGTCCCAGGGAACCAATGGCGATTCCATTACCGCCTCGGCATGTGATGTCCTTCGCTAGGATGTTTGTCGAGTTCTGGGTGGCACTAATTAACGTTGCTATTCCAGGGCGACAAGACGCGAGCATACCCCTTTAATCGCAAGGCAGTCGTCTCCGCAGGTAATCTCATTCAAAGCCATGAGACGGATGCTAACAACGGGGATTGAAGGCACCTACGTCCCAGCGAAGCAATGTCACCTTGTCGGACCGGTAGGTATTGATACCTTATGTGTTATGTGAGTACCGCCTGAGAACGTAATGGACACACATGGCGCACCGTCCGTGTTGGGGACCACGCTACAATGAACTTCAGTACTTTCGTCGAAAGCCCTCTCTGCCACGAACGCTTACTTTTGGCCTGCATATAACGGGTCTTGGTTGGTCGCGTTGCAGTACATCCCGTCGTACACCACATCGCGCGAGTCCGCGACCGTGTTGCACCAGAACGGCTGCGCCTCAATGCGGAAGTCGCGTACCACACCCCGCGTGACGTTCGAAAGCGTGAGCGAGATCGGGCGTCCGTCGCCGTCCTGGCGTGTACGGTTGCCGTAGTACGACCACCATGTCTGGCCGTTGCCGTTGATGCCACCCGAGGCGTGCGCGTCGACGACGAAATCGTGGCCCGTCAGCACGAACCAGGACGCCTGGTTCTGGATGAAGACCACGCGGTAGGTGTTATTGGCGTCCAGCCAGTACTCGGGGTCGGGCTTGAACTGGGGCGGGAAAAGGTGGTAAGTATACGCAAGGCGGAGGGATGCCAGTGAGGGATGTAATCTTACGTTCAAATAGCCGTGAAGGTCGACGCGCGACGAGACGAGATCCCAGGTCATTTTCCTACGCATTTGATGTTCGTACTGTTCTGAAAAGTGCCCGACACGGGGTGTCAACGCACCTAGTAATGTTGTATTGTCCAGGGGCAAACACTGTCGTTCCGAAGTGTCCGCACTTTGCGATGGCTGCCTCAACCTGGGCGACCACATTGTAAGGATGCCAACTTTGCCAATTTATCTCTGCTATAAAGCCGCACCTGGTCTGTGTCATCTTTTCCTGGGCCGAGGGGCCTCAGCACACAGTGTTTACCTAGGCTTCTGTCTTCTAAGACCGCTGCGGTACGAGCACATATGGCGCCGAGGGCGGCAGCGACCAATACAGTCAGTAGCCCGCGCATGATGCTGCCTCGTACGTTGACCAAGGGGGCAGGACGTTCAGTCTGGTCACATTTGGGCTTCTATTTAATGCCCGCGTCCTGGTCACGAGCTGATGTACGGCCCGGGAGAATGCACCGACGAGGAGAGGCGAATGTTCGGCTCGAGGGGAAGAGTGTCCAGTGACCCTGCGCGGCGCGATACATCGGCGCAAGCGTGAGGCGGTGGCTATACCGGAGTAGATGTAATCCTACGACTCCTCGCCAACGGCGCTGTTAGACGCCTTCGAATTCCACCTTTCAACGAGACGTGTGTACTGAAGGGCGTACTCGGTTCTAGAACGCTGTTTTGAAGTTCTCAACAGGGTTTTATAGCATTCATATGGAGCCCTACACCGCATAACGTACCTAGCGTTGAGGTTGTTCATCACGTTGAATGATTAGCACGGTCCATGACCGCGTCAGGGGCGTAAGGGCGGGCCGGGCTGGTCATGGTCACTGCCAGGAAAAGCGTCTCCAAATTTCCCTCACAGGGCTGGAGAGTAAGAAATGGATGGAACGTGCTCAGAATGGCGGCCGAATACGCAACTACGAGCCACGGGTCCTTGTGTGCGCCCATAGCTCCAGGATACGATTTCGGAAGAGTTGCAGGTGATGGCGATGCCACTGGAGATCCCTGGCAGTCTGGGGCACAGTTGGGCGCCTGTGGGCCACGCGTCCGCCACGCGAGCCGTAACACTTCCGGAGATATCCCTTCGGGCGACTGCGGTAAACAACTTGGTTTTAGCATCCCATCCCGGAAAGTCCTACGTACAAAGAGGTATATCGACGCTCGAGGGCCCGGTGGCCGAGGATGAATACAGAGTCGAGTACGACGGATGGAGGGGCGGCGTCTCTAAGCCACCTCGCAGCAAACAACACGACGGAAATTGCGACGACTGGTCTGGCGCCAGATCAAGTTGTAGACGAGGGCCCGTCGGATCGTCCGCTCGATGTGCCGCGCGGAGACACGCCCGCTCCGCCAGCAGATTGCGCTTGCTGTAAAGACTCGCGCATTGCGGTGTGGTCTATACGCTCACATATCCTTCTCTACAGTGAAACGCAACGCGAAGTCCTCGCCTACAGTCCTATCTCTCGACTTAATCTTGCCCCCAATCCGAACCGAAGTCGAGCTAGCATCGGCGTCGCTTAACGATGCAATAGCCCTGCTTCGCGAAACACCCGCAGACCCACAAGGACTCAGCTCTTTCATCCAAGTGAAGAGTGCACAGATGTTAACCTGCCGTCGAGGCATGATAACGGTAAGCGGCAAGAATAGCTATGTTTCTGTCGGTCATCAGCCACGCCGTATGACTTCATGTGGCTTTACGCTGAGACCAAGCCAGTCCGACTTCACCACTTTATCGGAGAACTAAATAAGGTCGTAGTGCCTGGACACCGCCATCCTATTGGTATCCAATACTCCTGGCTACCTCATGCCCAAAGCAAAGTGTAAACGCACTTTGCAACAGCACCTCGCCTACCTCAATCAAGAGGACAAGGAACTCCAAGATATTGAAGTTGGACTCGAAGATGCTGTGGCTCGAGCGCGATCGCTCCTGGTTACCCAAGAAAGCCTCGTTAATCTCGCGCGGAGACTGCATCGATTGAAAGTTTTGCATATGGTCGTCCGCACTGCGGTATGCGAAAACTACTCTCTATCTGAGGGGCACTCGCGTTAATGTGCATCATCCGTGTCGAGCAGGCGATCTCCACACTCCCGTTCGTGCCCGTCCTCTCGGCTGCGCTCACCGCCGCCGACACGCTTGGCTTCACCGTGTACATTGGCTTACACAAGTCCGTCGCCACAGAAGACGAGCTGCAGGAGGCTCTGGGAGAGGTCAAGTCAAAGGTCGAGGCCTTGGAGGAGACGATGGCGGGTATACGGGACGCCCGGCACTGGCTATCCGTATTGCAGGAGCGAACCGAGAAGCAACGGGAGGAGCCCGCCATGCATCGGCTGTTGGACTTACTGCGGATGCTCCATCATGCGCGGGACCTCGTCGAGCCGGTTCTTGGGTCTTTTGATGGCCAGTCGGGTGCAGATGCTCCGGAGGCGTCAATGTGGGACCTGGTGTCCGCGATGCGCGACCTTATTGCGGCACTCGATGTGTCAGAGGAAGCGGTCACATCTATTAACTTGCAGGAATGCGATACCTTGGCGAACATCACTGTCGCTTTCAGATCGTCGACAGCCGCCTCTGTCTCTGTTTGACGTACTAATGTCAATAGCTCATTGATTCCCTTTCCACTTCCTGCTCAAGTCACCTATTTCTGTCTCCTTGATATGTTGTGTACATGCATGCTATCCCATTTCGCGATATCCACGCTCTCGTTCTATGCTGGATTTGGGTACGTAACTCAGCCTTTTTCCACGCATATTCCAAATTAACTGACTTGTTATGGACGAGGACCAGAGACTCAGAATTTGCGCAACGATCGAAACGTATATCGTTTGTTGTCCTTTTCCTTTGATTTAGTACGCTGGTCTTTCAGCGTGCAATCGAGATAATCTTTCGACTTTGTTTCCCAAACTCTAGACGCGGACCGGATACGTCGACCATCGAGCCGAACAAAACGCGCTGTTCACAGGTGCATTCACTGATCATTACCAACATGACAGCACTGTTCCTCGTCCGATGGGTCTCTACAAGTCTCATCCATAATATCCCTTCTTGCTCTGTTCCGTCTCACCGCGCTGACCAGGCGACATGGAAGTCGGAGCTTGGAACG